ACAAACCCCGCAAAGCTTTTACCAGAAGGCATAATGATGCAAAACAAGAAGCAGAGAAACGATAAGATGGAAAGATCTCACCAGCAAAGACGGTAGGAAGCGAAAACCCCATTATCGCCAGCAAAATCACCAGAGCCGAAAACCCTAGAACTTGAATCATATTGTATTTATTTTATTTCCTCGTCGTCTCCGCTCTGCTATGGTTTCGCCTCACGCCGAACCCTAGCGTCTGCTACGTGTGTGAATATCGCGTCGTACTCTGATTTCCACCGCTTCAATTTCGTTGTCGGCTTCGTCTGGCTGAATAGCTCGCGTTTTCGAGCTGCGTCGTGCGGTCGTCGTGTCTGGTAGAGCTTCGCGACCTCGCGTTAGCTGCATCGTGTGTCGTCGTCGTGTGCAGTGCTCGTGACTTCCACTCGGCAGCTACGCCGTGACTGTTTCTGCTCGACAACACCTCCCGCAATTTTGTTTCTGCCACGACTTTCTTCTTCTCTGCGAACAACTCAGTTTCCTCCTTCGCACTTCACAGAGATTTGTTCGGCTACGCCGTTTGCTGCACTCGGATGGGCACTCGGATGGAGCGAAGTTATGTAGGTGTTGTGTCCACAGGTTTGGATCCTGGTTTTCATATTGGCAAGTCCTGCAATGTTCCACAATCCTTCCACGAGACTCTTGAAGGTGGTGGGCATCACACTTTTATTAAAAAGCTTGGTAAAAAAAACGGGAAGCCTGCTCTTATTCTCACTGAAGTTGAAATTATTACTCTCGCGTTTTCTTGGCGTTTTGCTCTAGTGGAAAAATTCTTTTATGGAAACCCAAAACTTGAGATCATTAAAAAAGATTTTGAAACTATGAAACTATTGGGCAGTCTGCATATGTATTACTTGACGGTCGACATATACTTATTCAATTATCTCATGATATCGATTGCACTCGTATATTTTCTCAAAAAGTTATCAAGATTGACAACCGTTTTATGAAAATTCTGAAATGGGCTGTCAATTTTGATCCAAAAGCGGAATCCCCTATCATTCATGTTTGGATAAAGTTTTCGGGGTTAAAATTATATTTGTTCAACTTGAAAATTCTCTACTCCTTAGTAACTGCTTACAGTAAGCTTCTCAAGGTTGATAGTCCTACGATTGTAGTCACCAGACCCTCTGTGGTTTGTGTATTAGTTGAGAGGGATATCACTCAACCAACTCCGGATGAAGTATGGATTGGAACCACTCACAACGGGTAATGACAAAAAGTTGAAATAGAACCACACCCTCCTTATAGCTCTCATTGTAATATGTTTGGTCACAGTTCTACTATTTGTTATCGTTTGCATCCTCATCTAAGGTCAAATATCACTAAAGATTAACCACCTACCATCCCTGCTGAGAAGGTGCAACCCGATCCTCTACCCAACATCGTAGTTCCTAAAGAAAAACACCATACTATAGGTAAAGATCCAAAAGTGTTTATACCACTCACTGTAATTGAAGAAGACTCACTTACATCCAATAAAAGATCAACTGGTACAACAATCAATTATTTCTAATGTTCAACATCTTCTACGTGTCCGACACACTTTAGACCAATCCACTGATCAGGCAAGTCAATCTTCGGATGAGAAATGACAGGTCTATTCCAGGAGGAAGAAGAAGACTGGAGACCGACTCGAGCTCGGGAACTTATTGAATGATACTTTGATCACTACTGACAATGACACTCATCTTACCAATTTATTAGCTGGATCCATTACTAGAACTAAGGGAAAAAATAAATCAAAATTGGGTCGCTCTCTAGCTACCTGATACTACATATTTTGACTTTTTTATTTTTTTTTCTTTAGGTCTCTCGTGTAATTTTTTGTATTTTCTCTTTTTGGAACATTTTGTATGTGGTGGTTATCGTGGGAGAATGATGTCATGCTTGAGCCCTTACACACAATTCATAGGTATCCTTATTTCTTTTTAATATATTAGTCTTTGGGCTTTCAAAAAAAAAAAAAATAAATTATTAAAAAAAAGATTTATTAGCATCCCACTAATTAGTTGTTCGGTGGAAATTCAAACTTCTCATGTATCATTCTCTTTAGAACATAGATTTATTTCATTGTAGCTTTCTTCCACTTAGGGATTTTATGAGCTTTATGAATATTATTTGGAATCTATATGTTATCAACAAAAGAATGAAAACTAGGTAAAAGCTCTTTACAAGTAAGGAAATCATAAATTGGGTGTTCAGTGTATTACGTTACTTATGTCCTTAGGAAAAAAGGACCAATATCAACATTTACGAGTTTATTCTCACCAGTTTATCATATTTTCTCGAGGATGTTCCATAGGCCCTCTATTGTCAAGAGGTGGCCACCTGTTTGGATACGGTGATCACCTCTGCCTAATAGCCTGGTTTAGCTTCGGAGCTTGAGGTATACAATAATATTATGGCAATATCGTTCCTTAACATTACCTATTATGAGATTTCATGTTACAGGTAAATATCTTTGAATTGAGAGTACTACTCTTTGGTATCCCTCAAAACATAATTAATCAAATTAACACTTTCTTTTGTGAGTTGCTCTTCAACCCAGAATAAAAATAAATTTGATTATATGATTATATGTGAAAAATTATCATAAGTCTTTTTTTGTGAATTTGAATAAGTCAAAGTTTTCTAATACTATTGGACCTCTATGCCTGATTTATCCCATGAGCATTGACTTGTGAGAATTTTCCTTGCACTTTTACTTGTTTGTCCAAATTAATCTATTTTCCTCTCCCTAGCTTTTCTTCCATCCTTATTTTCACTTTCTTCTTCGGCCAAATGTGATGTGTTAACTTTGAAAAGAGATTGCTTGAGAAGGAAAACTACGAAAATAGAACACTGCGAACAAATAAAAATGAAGTGAACACATCTCCACACCATTAATCATCTATCCCAAGTTTAGAATCAACAGTCATAGGTATTACATGAGATATTAGAGAACACAATTTTCACCTTTTGTTTCTTGATAATAAGTTAGAATATAGGTAAAACAAATAAAATGAGATAGCATATTCCAACCAACTCGTTAATAACTTATGCAATCTGAATAGTATAATTTTCATAGTACATGCTATAATTTTTTAAGACAGATTTATCTCCTGTTATATGATCTAAAGCTCCTAAGTCTGCCATCCAAGTAGCGGTATTCATCTTATTTAAAATGAAAATTTTGAGGCTTGGTCTTCTTAAACAACCAAGCTTATTTTGGTGCTGCCCTAAAAGAATTTAGGTTGGCAAAATAAATGAATGGCTTCAATTTCCTGACCAAAAAACCGAAAGAGAAAGAGAGAGTTTATTTCTTTTTGAAATTTTTTTTAATCCAATATTTCATCATGATTTTTTCATATTTTCGACATGGATTTTTTGTTTTAAAAATGATTTTTAACATTAGAGTTGTATTTTACTTGATCATCGACTTCTATGTGGTGGTTGCCACCATCATCTGCATAGTAATTGACATCTTCTTTCCAAGAGAATCATTCACATAAATTTTTACCCACTTTTGTAGGACAAAGTTTGACATTCAATGTTGTTCAAGGACCTTTCAACATAGAAAAAAAACTCCATATTGAAAGATATGTCATCCTCAAAAGGAGTAGAGCTTTGATGCGTTTGCAAACACCTTCAAAATTAGAATAGAATGGAGTAGAAAATTAGAGAATTTACTATTGAAATGTATTCCTTTATTCTGTGTACAAAATAAGATGATATGCTTTACATAAACAAGTAGCGCAGTAATGATCAAAGAAAGAAAAAAACATTGAAATTGAACATTAATTCTAAATCCAAAATTAACAACATGACAGGAATGGAATGTTGTGTTGTTGTCACAGATTATTGGATTACTATAGAATGAAATCTATTGTCCACATAATGCTGGATTATTATACATAAAAAGCTATTGTCTACGAATAATTGGATTGACGCGTTTGGAAGTTGTTATCCACACATTTTGTTTTCTTATAGATGGAAAAGTGTTGGACAAATTCATGACGATTTCAACAAATGCAAAGCGACAAAGAGAAAATCCTCTAGTAATGTTCATCTTTGACCACACCATCTAGTATATTTGATCTATTTCTATTTAGTTGCACCCTTGCAAATCCAAATATATTTGCGATCCAATACTGCATGTGTAGCAGTTGGTTTCTCCGCTCATGATGTGATCCCAGCATAATAATGATCATAATTATCTTATTATCTCATTTCTTAAGAACTTGATATGATGCCAGCATTTAACATGAGCTTTAATACTTCATTGATGAACATAATAACATCATAAAAATACCAATGAAAAAATTCCTTACAGTGAAAATATTCATCTAGATATCCCCAAATATGTGCAAAAGCTGACACACCAACCTCCCAAGTTAAGGAAATACAGAGCAAAGTACTTGTGTTTTCAACAATTACCAATGAGCACTTGACGTACCAACCTCCCATAGCTTGCGCACATACTTGGGAACATCTAGATGAGACTTTTTGCTTAAAATAAATTCATAATTGATAGTTAATGGATGTTATCATGTTCATTAAAGAGATATCAAGGCTTTCGTGTTAGATGTTAGCATTTTTCTAGATGAGTAACGACTGAGACATAACAGCATCACATCATAAGAAGAGAAACCAAAAACTGCAAGAAGATTGGATTGCAAAAATTTCGGAAGATTTGCAAGGGTGCACCGAAGAAGACTCAGATCAAATCTAACCAGACAAGATTAGATGGCATTGTCAAAGATGAGCTATGAATTGGCATAAATGTGCACATGAAGGAAGCTTTCAATGCAATTCCAATCTAGTTTTTGTGTCAGCAAAACTTGATATTCTTTTTTATATCTGATGAAAGCAAGCTTCTATGTACCTTTCTTGCTAGTAACTATACAGTTTGCTTTTCTGTATGATGTTATTCAGAAAAATAGAATTCTGAAATGCAATCTAAGAAGAAAGATGATTTCAAAACTTACAAAGTAAAGAGCTGCAAAAGCAGACACAGTGATCAAGATCAAAGGCCAAAATCCCAAAAAGAATGTCCCTCCAATTGTCAGGAGCAACTTTGCCCGTGGAATCAACCCCTAAGTAGATATGAAATAGACATCATATACCTCATATCTCACAAAGAGATCAAAATAACAGGCAAAAGAGTATCAACATCAATAACATCTTCAAGTGAGGAAGGCAAGATAGGCCATACCGCATGATAACACTGCTTCTTTAAGAAAAATATACAAGAGAATATGATATGATAAATATCTAAGAATTGACTTCCCAATCCAAAAGAGAAAAACATTAAACACCTTTTTTTCCACTATCAAAGCAAATGAATTACAAAAAACTTTATTTATGAAAGGCTAAAGACAAAAAATAAAGATTAAACTACTCTCTGTGAAGTGTAAAAATAGCTGATCTGACATCTCGGGATTCAAAATTGCATAAGAATATCTAGCAACACAACTTATTAATGATCTAAAGCTCTTAATGAGAGATCAATACCCTTCTCAAAATGAATAAAGGATATTCTAATATCACATAACAATGGCAGCCAAACAAAAGAAGATCCCTTGTCTGTTGTCTGTCTCTCCCTCTCTCCTCTTCTGTTGCTTTATTTATTTATTTGGGTGAAAAGTTTCAAAATGAAGGTTAGAACACTCAAATCGAATTAGTTCTACCACTGGCATCCTCCCACAGATTCAAAAAACTAGTCTAATAATCGCACCAAGCTTAAATAGGTAGAACACAGATTCAAATGCAATAAACTTTAGTGAACCCTAACTTGCAAGAATGAAGATGGCTGGTTAATCTTACGAACCTCAATACCCTCGCTGTTAAGCGCCATAGAGACTTCCCTCTGCCTTAAGGCACCCTTTTCGTACTCCGCCGACGCCACGCCATTCCTTTTAGACCGTCCCCTCCCAGGCTCACCCCCGTTTTCTTCCTCCGCCGCAACATCTTCCTTGCTCTGTCTATAAAATGCCTTCTCAGTATCCTCCAATAATGAAGAGGGAGTCACTCCCCTCCTCTTAAGCTCTTTCATGAACAACGACTCTGGCGGCTCCTCTCCTTAAAAAATCCCCCCAAACTTCCATTAGTGTTTGGAATACTCTTGAAAAAAACGAAAAAGTAAGAATAAATTACCATTAGAATCACCGTTGCCCTGCTGTAGACGACAGTGGAACGGGATGGCGAGGGGTAGAACGGCGCGACGTCGAACAGGGAGGTTTGGTCGGAAGGGGATCGAGGGCGAGAAGGCAGGCCTTGCTATATGCAGACAGGCCATCTCGGATCTCGATTTGTTGTTAATGGTAATGTTACAACTAGTTCAAATAAGGGATTTGTAGACGGAGAAGGAAGGCGGCGACGCAGCCGTCTGCAGTTACGCGAGTAAAAGCGGCGGCGTAGCGGCTCCGTAATCGCGTTGCGTAAAGTCCTAACTCGTTGGTTTTTTTTTTTTTTTTTTTTTTTTTTTTTTTTTTAAGTGGGGTGGGAAGTGGGGTAGGGGGGATTTTAATAGATACCACATAATTAGTATATATCCCATCCTTAGCATGTATACCATTCAAATATCACATCAAAAAATATTATCATAATTATTTTTTAAAAAATAAGATAAATATTTTTATGCATAACACCAAATATTACAAATATGAACATCAACATTTAGGAGTTAGATATATAATGTGATTTTTATGTAAATTTCTCTTTTTTAGACACTCATTTCTAAAATTACATTTTTGAAAATTTTACATGCATATCATATAATTATTATATATTTACATATTTAATCTCCAAGATTTGATATTTATATGTATACATTTCAGTGTTAAAGTTTATACGGGAAAATAAAATTGTATATTTTATTTTAAGAAAATAGTAGTAGTAATGCTTTTTGTGTAATATAAAGGATTGAATGATATATTTATAAATATGAAAGTTTAGATATTAAACATATAAATATGCAAGAATTATGCATTATGCAGAAAAATGCCCCCACATTCTTTTATTGAGTATACATTTGATTGCAAATAATGATTGTGTACAGTAAGATAAAAATGAAATATTTAAAATTTTAAATATTTAGTTACAAGAAAAAAAAATTTAAAGTGACCTTTAAAGCATTTTAAATATTTGCATATTATATTTAGAGTTTTTAAAATAAGAGACTCTTTAGCATAGTTGCTATAGGGCAAGGTGGTTTTGTACCAAAAAGATCTCATGAACTTTCTCATCTAAAAGAAGAAATAATAATTTAGCCAAATATAAAATTATAAAATTTTGATATAGAAGCCCAAGATATTTTTTATGGAACATTCCTAAATCAATGTCTAAAAAACTATATCAATCCTCACGGTATATAATTAAAGATACATTTTTGACTTGTCACAGTATATAATTAAAGATACATTTTTTACTTGACATGTCACTTAAAAATCCAATTAATCAAACACTAATCTCAATATATTTTAGATGAAATAACATAATCATATTTTAGATTTGATATGTTGCTCAGAAATCCACTTTATCAAACACAAATGTCAATGCAATTTAGAACTGTGAATGAAATAATTTTCACACTCAGGTTTATAGTCAAGTTAAATGTTTAAACACGACGAACCTAACAACAGTTAGGCCAGTCCAATCTATGTCTAAATAAACCTGAATCAAATACTTGAAATATAGCTAGAAGCTTCAGAGTATCAATAAAAGGATAATGATTATCCAATTCAACATGCTTAAAGCGGAATTGAGCGTCTCAATGTGAAAAATCCAATTATTCTGGCAAAATTTAAATTTCTTGATTACCATGGCACTAAAGTGGGGAAGAGAGAGAGGGAGAGAGAGAGAGAGAGATTTTAGACTTGATATGCCACTAAGAATTCTACTTAATCAAATGAAAATCTAAATATATATTGGAATTTTGGTTAAAATAATCTCGTGATTCAAGTTTATGTTGATTCGGGTTCCAATTTCAACAAATTTACAATCAAACTTAAAGTAAATAAGATGAACTTAATGAAATGAAAATCATTCCAATTTGAGTCCAAATAAACCCAAATCAAACACTCGAATATTTGTACAACCAACACTTGTCTCTTCTGAATTATCATATCACAAAAGGTATTTGTCTTTCATGTCCATTGCTTTATATTTTATTGAGCACGACATTGTCAATGTCGTATTCTTAGCCGTTACCAATAAACCTCCCGTCATTTGTGGCTTTCCTTGAGCTCTTTACTCTCACTTGAAGAATTGTTAAGGATTTCTTGTTAGGATGGCTTTACTCTTTTTTATCGAACTTCCAAGGCAAGTAAGCCATTGACAATCACCCCCAGTTATCAAATCAAAAGCTTTAAAATATATCAAAGATTAAACTTTCGTCCCACTATAACTTTTCCTATACATTGGAATCTTGGCTTTAAGAAGCATCTTACGAAAATGTTTATTTGATCGTTAAGTTGGTTAAAGGTTTTCATCATAATAATGAGCCTATAATTTGTGTTGTAAAAATTAATAATTTTAAAGCCATTGGTTTTCTTAATCCGGAAGCCATGCTCCACTGGCTTATGATTAAAGATTTTCCTTTCATATCTATCAACTAATTTGGGGTTAATGAAGTATTTTTCAATATTAAGATTAACGACCATCTCCATGGGTATTTCAACTATTATAGTTGGTTAAGGGATATCAACTCTCTCTTTGCCTCTTTTTTACATAAAGGGATGGCCATTCTTTACATCTAAGCCAAGACTGTAATTAAGCTCGAGCCAAATGCATTAAGCAACCTTAATCAACTATTATAGTTGGTTAAGGGACATCAACTCTCTCCTTGCCTCTTTGTTACATAAAGGGATGGCCATTCTTTATTTCTAAACAAAGAGTGTAATTAAGCTCGAGCCAAATGCATTAAGCAACCTAACCTTGAAATATCTCATCTATTATTTGTCAATGATGTATCGATCTTTGGTAGAGCAATTAATGGTTTTAAACACTTTTAAAGATGTTTTCAAACTTTCATCAGATCTATGTACATGCTTGCGTTATATTCTCTGGATTTTCTTCTTATAAGGTTGCTCATGGTTCGCCTTTTCATTTGCCCTAAGATCACTTCTCATTGCCTACCCTAGCTTGTTGCTCCCTTCAATCAACATTAATAAATCTATGGACTATCATCCCTTACTCAATAAACTTCAAGATAAAGTTTTTATTGGGAAAGGAGCAACCCAGACATTGGCAACCCGATTCCAATTAGTGTGTTGTTCCTTGATGACCATGGCCAACTAAGGGACCCAAGTTTTTTAATTCTTAAAGATGCTTTTAAAATGGTGTGTTCTATTTGTAATAGATTTCTCATTTCCGCTGATTCGCATATTATAAGAAAACTTTTAAGTAGAGAGTGAATGTGTGTGTGTGTGTGTGTGTGTGTGTGTGTGTGTGTGTGATAAATAAAACCAACTCTAAAAATATAAAAGTCAATACCCGTGAGGGCTATTGCCCTCGCATTGCCGCAGAGATCAGTGCCGAAATCCGAGATGGGCATGTCTTCTTAATCCCTTAGCTATTACAATAGATTCCTGAAAAAAGACCCCGTAATTTTGACTACATCATATATGTTGCACCACAAACATTTCAATTCAATCCTAACATAATCACAAACTCTTAACACTTACTCTTGGTGGTTGATTATTGTGATGAGGAAGCAAAATTCCATAAAGCTATCGGATCTGCCCCTCCCTTTACATTTATATAACTACTTAAATGGCATAAATCTATGAATATGTACATTACAAATATATGCATGTCACTTGTTTATCATATTTGGATGGCTAGAAAAGAAGTTTTGTCTGGCAAGAGAAATCCTTCAAGTAGAGCAATTATTAGTTAATCTTCTTTGACTTACAACTTAAGGCAGCTGTGGGGATCAGCTCTCAACGGAATATTATAGGAAGAATCTAAATGTTTACCCAAATGCCTAAGAGTGTGTAAGCATGTGTTATACGTGATAAGAATGAGGTTGACAAACTTTCTATACAATGCCATTGCAATGTCTTTATTGAGATTAAATTTAACGTCAGAGAGCATATCAATTATTTTTCCACAGTGAAAGATTAGTTTTTTTGTAGAACTTTAGATGCCTGCTCTACAGAGATAATGAATTTGCAAATTTTGGATTTTTGAAATATGAATTTATACAGAAAAAAAATAAATCAGAAAAGGTATAATCTCTAATGTTACTTTGCTCTCTGAAAGCTGCCAGCGAGGATTTATCTATTATTTTTTTAAGGAAGCAAATAATCAAACACCTAATGCTCATTCTTAACAGGGTCGAAGAAGTTCTAGCTGACTTGAAAAGCAGAACAGAGATAGCCAACCCGATACAGTAAGTGAACAAAAATTCTCAACTCAAAAAGAAACGGCCGAGGCAGTTGAAACAGAAACCGGCTTCAGCTGGCGCTGCTCGCCGGGAGTCACAGTGTCTTCGCCGCCGTCGTCGGACATGGCAAGAGTCCAGTCAGGGGGGAGAAGAGGGAGAACAGGGTAGAGAGTTGGACCCTTACGCTTAACGTCCCACGGCTGCGTCTTCTTGGGCCTCGTCTTCATGTGGTGAGCCGTCCCCTTCTTCTTCGGCCTAGAGGAACATTCCACCGTCATCGGGCCTCCTCCGCCACCGCTTCCTCGGCTCCATGTTGCCGGCGGCCGCTTCCCTTCTCTGAAAGACGCCGGAAGAATCCCAACCGAAGCTGCAGAGATCAACGACGCCATTTCCGCTCGCCTCTCAGGTTACCTAACGAGTCCGCAGCTCTTCGATCCGGAAACGGATAACGAAACAGAGATAGTGTCTGGTGAGTGATGGCCCTGTTTTCTGGTGCGCCTTCCTGCACTGTTGGCTTAAACTGCACCGTCCAGTCATCCACGCCATAAAATTTATGCATCAAAATATGTAATAATGTGGCAAATTATTTTAAATTTCACAAATACATCAAAAACAAAATAATATTTTACAAATTTACTTAAACACCACTCAAATTCTATGTACTTACTACTTATGAGAAAGTATATTACTTTTTAAAATTGAAATGGTGGTTTGTTTTATAACATTTGAAAGGCTTGAGTGGTATAGTTATAAAATATGTTGAAAAATTAAGGCGAAGAAAAATAGGAATCGACACAAATCCAGAAAAACATACAGAAATTTAACACTCTATGTTAGGTGTTATGTGATAAAAGCACCATGAATAAAAAATTCATGCATCTATGAACTGAGTTGATGAAACTGAAAATATATCGTCATCACTGTAATTTGAATTGTCACTTTGAACCACATTTACAGACTTCGATGATGCATCATGTTGCTCCTCAGTCTACTTCTTGAGCTTTGTATAATCTCTCTTCATATGACTTGGCTCCTTGCACTTGTAGCAATTAATTGTCTTTTGTCTTTAGACTTTGATCTATAATTTTACCTTCCAGAACCCTCATTCTCTTTCTTCCTTCCACGATCCTGCTTACCCTTAACATATAAACTGTCGCCATGAAAGCTTTCCCCTGCATTCTGTTTCTGCTGGTTGTGAGCCAACAATACTGCATTAATCTCTTCAACTTTGATAGTTTCTTCCACATATGTCAGAGTAGTCACCAGGTGTTCATAAGAAAAAAGACAATGAACATAACAAAATAATTGCTCGTTCTTCATCCTCAATACTCACATCAAGCTGTGATTATTTGATTGAAGTAATTAACATGTTGCACCAGATCAGAACCTTCTTGCATCTTCAAACCACACAGCTTTTGCTTCGATACAATTTATTCGTCAAAGGTTTGAACATAAACTGAGTTTTTAATTTCTTTCATACCTCCCCTGGAGATTTTAGATTCATCACATGATACATAACTTCATTTGTCAGACATAAATGTATGATTGTTGCAACTAGTTGCAATTCTTCTCAATTTTCATCTTCCATAGCATCTGATTTTGTTGTCTGCAAAGCCTTCAATATTCTTTGTTGTGGCAACAAATCTTTCACTCTTATTTATCATAACTCGAAGTTCTCAGTTCCATCAAACTTCTCCGCCTCGAATTTTGCACAAAAAAATTATCATATGAAATTAATCTTGCAACGAACCCTTCTGCAAATTCCTGAACTTCTCGTGTGAATTTCGCTACCAAGTTGTCGAATTGCTCGCCAAAATTCCTTCCTTCAAACAAATCCTTTGTTTGATTCGTTGAACTACCTGTCGAATCTGGCGATTCACGGAAGAATCCCTCGTAGAACTCTCGATCGCTGAAGGTCTTGCCCGTTCACGCGAACGACTTTTGCTTTTGCAAAACCGGTTGTGAGAAGCCTCGCGCGAAGCCTGTCGCGCATCTGTGCGACGAGCAAACTCCTCCTCCCACAATTCACAAAAACTTCTCCCCGTCTGTCGCGGTTCGTCAACTCCCGAAGCCTGCTTGCAGAGCGCGCCCGTGGCTTCGTGAGCGAGGACGTGAACTCGTTCGCACAGCAGCCTTCCGTCGAAAATGACGCAAGCCGCCTAAATCCCTTCGCCTCCAACCTTTTTGTGTCGTCAATGCCCTGCTCGCAAGCCGCTGAATCCACCGAGTACTGCCTATCCCGCCCTTCTCTTCGTTTGTTCACACGAATCGTCGAAGCCCTAGCCTTCGAACCCTTTGCACCGAATCAGACGTCACAGTCGTAGAAATCCTTGACCAGAATCTTCTTTGTTCATGCGTCAAAATTTTTCTTTTCTGCCCTAGAATCTCGTTCTAATACAACTTTTTAAGAAATTAGAGCGAAGGAAAATAGAAATCGACACAAATCCAGAAGAACACACATAAGTTTAACGAGGTTCGACAAAGATGTCTATGTCTTCGGGAGCAGAGCGGGGGCTTTCCTTTCAATCTCAAAAAAATATACATAATAGAATACAATACCTCTTAGGGTTATAATGGATCTTATATATATAGCCCTGAGGTACAATATGAAATTACAAAACTACCCCTGTACCATATCGTGGGGAGTTGCCCCGCACCCCCAACTCACGTAACGAAACTCCCCAATTGGACAGATTTTTCTGCTCCACTTTGTTCTAGCATCTATCCCTTATATGATATATGAGTCATATCATAACAAAATGCAAATTTAAGATATTAATTTGTTGTTACATACAAATTGAGGGGCATGTATGTAAACGCCCCATAATTTTTTGTTTGAGCGTGAATTATACTGATGAGCTAAATTTGCTTAAAAGCGAGATCAATTCAAACATTATCATCTGATTTGACATGGATGATTGATTGTGGTATTTTAGACTTAAAAGAATAATAAGTTCAAAATTCAATTGTTTAAAACTTCAGTGACATACGACTTTTTAGGACAGCTGCGGTTTATTAAAAAGTAATTGTGAAATCGTTGAAAAATAATGTGATGATTGAAAAATTGTGGTAGCTATTATAATTTTTAAAAAGAAAAAGTCAGACCGTATCTTGAAAGTTGTCACCACACCTAGTATAACCAGTAGGAAAACGTAAATTTCTGCGGTAGCTTTGTGAAAAAGCTGTCAAAACGTAATTTACAAATAAGCAAAATTACGGTACGATGTCACACCGCCACCGCACCGCTGCCCCTAACAGTCCCATAATCTAAAAAGGGGCTATCAACCGACAACCGGAACGTTCATGATTCAGCTCTAACTAGATTATAATTTAAGATTAGTTTAGAAATTTAATTTGATTTTGTTATCAGTAAGGTTGTCAAAGAAATTATGATTTGTAAAGAGCTTGTATTTCGGGAAGTATATGTATAATTATCCCAAAATAGGGCCAATTACAATATAAATCAACCACCCTCTTTCATCCATTTTTCAAATTCTCATTAAAATATTAAAATGTATGTATGGTAAGACTCCAACCCATGCTTTTCATTTTTACCAAATTCTCAATCATTTGATTGCGGCACGCGTAGTTAAAAAAATCATTTAGGTGATTAAGTTGTAAATATCAATGTTTAGGGAGGTATGTATGTAATTATCCCTCAAAAAATAATGCTAACATTAACAATTAATTAGATATCATTTCTTATGAACAAGAGAGCGCAGACAGTCGTGTTTGGCTCTATTCGAATCATTATTTGCTCAATATACATGTAATTATCATGTAATTTAATGTTTTGAAGATTTATTAATTGGCTTATAAATTACTTTAATAATTTGTCTAATTCATTAACTATTTTATTTTAATTTTCTTAAAATTTGGTCATATTCAAGTCATATTCTAATGAGATGAAGACAAACATTTTGTCTATAGACTAACACACAAGTTTGACTGAGTGAAATATGAGCACATCAAACTTCCTTAAGCTCGACATATTTAAGCCACCCCTAGTTTTGAGCTTAAATATGTATTTATCTTATTGGGATGGTATAAAAGTATAAAAAAATATTGACAAATGGAGCAGAATACACACAGCCTGTATTTCTTATATGAAACACAAAAAAGGAAAACCATTATAATTAATGGTTTAGGTTGTATTTCAAATTGATTCAAGAATTTGAATTGCTCCAACTGCCGTTTGATTTTATATTAATTAAAATTTTAAACTGCTAATTAGTAACCCTTGACAATGCATGTTAACGATGGACGACTTTAACATTTGTAAACACCACATAATAATTAATAGCTAGTTGTATTGAGATTTTTTTTAATTATTATTATTATTATTATCTAAAAAGTAATATATTTAAAACCTTTTGCTTTATAATTAATGTTCCAAAAATCACCAATTGTCACAATAATATTAGAAGAAGAATTCCATAGCCATCCTCGCGCTTTGTGACTACCGAGTAAGCAGAAAAATGTTTATCTTGAGCTCCAACGTCTTCAATGCATAAGTCGATTTAGATGTTTTAAATTAATCAGATATGATGAGCATATTATCGATCGGTGACCTTTGTTTTAATAGCTCATGAGGAAAATAAATTAGGTTTTTAGACAATGGTCGACGGTGGTCAACGGAGTTCGGTGATGGTCGACGGTGGTGGTGTTGGACTTCAACTCCTTCTCGAAGTTTCAAGCACTTTCTCAAATCTCAAGCTCTCATCTCCCCTCATGAGAGGAAATGCGCTCTATTCATTGAGTCCCAACTACAATAAATGAGGGAATATGAACCAGTTTGATCAAACAACTCAAAGGGCTTCCCTCGATTAGATGACGTTTGATAGACATTTGAGTATCTTAATGATGTTAGAATTAAGTGATCTTGGGCTTCTTGGATTGGATTCTTCTAGTCGAGAAGCTCAATTCAAATATAAACTTGTCAGATTTGACATTCATTCGACCTCCCAAATATGTCTGTAAAAATTCTAAACATGGTTTAATGTTTTAATCTCGGCTCTGTTTTGTTCAAATTGGATCAAAGTTGGCACCATTTGGTCCATCTCATTGAGTTGGTCAGTATAATTATAAGTTTATTGAAATCAAAGCTCTAAATAACTCTTAATCAAAATTTAACAATTTTTTGCTTAAAAGATTATTATGAAATTCTATTGATGATGTATTAGTTGCCCTCTATTTTCGGGCGAGATCAATGTCATCGTTCGAAAATACTAAAATTCAAAGTTTTTTTAATGACGGTCGACAATGGTGGACATATCTCAATGGTGTGCGACAACGGTTGACGATGGTCGACGACGAACGGTGAAATTCGACAACGATTGACGGTGGTCAACATATATTAATTATGGTCGATGATAGTTGATGGCGATTATGGTCATACTAACCTCCATCAAGAATCTGTTAACATGCTAAGATGATATACTCTAAATCAAAACTGACCCTATGAGTATATTGATCACAATCAAACCATCATGCATATTCACAT